TTCGGCCCTTGATCTCTTTCGCCAACACGCCGCGTGCCTGGCGCACGTTCTGGCAGGCGGCCATGGCGAAGCCGGCGCGGCATGTCTCCACTCCCTTGGCTGACTTCTGCTTGTTCCTCGTTGCGCTGAAGTGCGGGACGCTCTCGCCCGGTGTCGTTCGGTTCCCTGCCTGCGCCGCCCCCACGAAGAACTTCATACTTGGATCGGCCCGGCACTCGCCGAGGCCAGGTCCGCCCTCGCCCGGAACACCCTCGCGGCCGCGACGAGGCGTGGTGGAGGGACAACTTGCAGGCTCCTCCGACGCGTCCTCCTCGTGCTGCTCGTGGAGCTCCCTGGCCTGTTCGCGGTGCTCGCGCCCCGCCTGCACGTCGGCGGCCGGGAGGGGTGCTCCTCGCTGCGCGCGCCGCGGCCGCGAGCTGGGCCGCCTCCCTCGCGTGGGGGGCCCAAGCATATGCACCACCACCACCACCACCACCACCACCACCACCACCACCACCACCACCACCACCACCACCACCACCACCACCACCACCACCACCACCACCTCTCCCTCACCCTCTCTCCCCCAGTAAAGAGGAAAGGAAGAGGAGGGTATAGGAAAGAGGAAAGGAGGATGAGGGCATATAGAAGAGAGAGGAGGAATCGACGTGGTGGTAGTGAATATATTCTTTGGGCCCGCATCGCGGAACGCCGGGGCGAACTGGCGGGGCGTGCGCCGAGCGCCGTGGCGCGCCACGTCAGGCCGGAGCCTCGCGCCCCTGCCCGCGCCCTCGCTCGTGCTGCTGCGCGGGGGCGCCCGTGCCTCTCGGCGCGCTGGGGCAGCCTTGAGGGCGTCGGCTGCCCGGGAGAGCCCGGAAGCGAATCGAGACGTCGGATCGGCGATCGAAGCGAGTCGGAGCGGCGCACAGCGGCAGCCGAGTCGGGAGGAGCCGGATCGGCGGGAATCGCCAGGCCAGTACGCCTCCAGCGAGACATCGGAGCCCGAATCGGATCCCCGCGTCGAACCGGATCGGGATCGGACGCCGTCGAGGTCGAACCAGATCGAATCGGAAGACTCGAAACGAGCCCTGGATGCTTCCATCGCCGACGCGGCCGTCGCTCGCGACGCCGCTGCTGCTGTGACCCTGGCGCGCGGGTCGGAGCGCTCGGCGAGGAATGGTGGGTGCGGCGGTGCCCGTACACGTCGTTCATGTCTGATCGTGCTCACTTCTCATTGTGCTCGCTTCTGGTTGTTCCTGGCCCCCGAGTGGCCAGGAAGAGGCCCAGGATGGCACACTTAGAACTGAAAGGATTTTGGCCCCCCAAAAAAGTCAAAGAATCCTAGAAAAAATTGACATGCACAACGTGTAGAGCTCGTCGGCGTCCGCGTCGACGAGGCCGCAGGCCGCGCACGCGGCGGCCGAAGGGCTGCGCGGAGGGGGAGGAGGAGGAGGAGGAGGAGGAGGAGGAGGAGGAGGAGGAGGAGGAGGAGGAGGAGGAGGAGGAGAAGGAGGAGGAGGAGGAGGAGGAGGAGGAGGAGGGGAGGAGGAGGAGGAGGAGGAGGAGAGGAGGAGGAGGAGGAGGAGGAGGAGGAGGAGGAGGAGGAGGAGGAGGAGGAGGAGGCGGAAGAGGAGGCGGAGCGGAGGCGGAGAGGAGGAGGAGGAGGAGGAGGAAGAGGAGGAGGAGGAGGAGGAGGAGGAGGAGGAGGAGGAGGAAGAGGAGGAGGAGGAAGGAGGAAGAGGAGGAGGGAGGAGGAGGAGGAGAGGAGGAGAAGAGGAGGAGGAGGAAGAGGAGGAGGAGGAGGGGGAGGAGGAGGAGGAGGAGGAGGAGGAGGGGGAGGAGGAGGGGGAGGAGGAGGAGGAGGAAGAGGAGGAGGAGGATGAGGAGGAGGAGGGGCTCTGAGGCTCTTTGGAGGCTGCGGCTGCGACCTTCGGGCGGCGGGGTGTTTCCTGTGGGCAGGGCTTGGGCCAGATGGCGTCCGGCGGTGCTCCGGTCCCCAGGTGTGGCTCGACAGCACATTACAGTCAACCAGTATAGGAAGGATGCGCGGTAAGGATGCAAGGGACTTGGACGCCCATTTCGAAGCTTCTCGAGCCGGGCGCGGCCAGCGAAAGCGGCGAAGGATGGACCGGGGAGGCAAGGATGCAAGGGTACCCTTGGGAAGGTTGCCCATCCTTACTATGCGGGTTGACTGTACAGCAACTGACGAGCTCAAACCTGTGATGTATGTGGTAACTCGTTTTGCAGGCGCTCTGTGAGGAGCTCTCGCCGGCCTCGCTGGCTCGTCAGGCGGCCTGAGCAAAAATAGCTATATGGCACGGCCCTCCCTCTTGCCAGCACGCAGTTGGTGGCTCGACAGTTGATTGGAGGGCAGAAAAATCCCCCCCCCCCCCAGAATAATCACCACGACAAGCGAGGCCGTCTAGTAAACGCACCCAAGGAAGGAATCGAACAAGGCAGGGCTGTTTAGTAAACGTCCAGGGCCGTTTAGTAAACATCAATTGTCGGGTCCGGGTGGTTTTTCCTCCTTTGATCGATGCAATAGTTGCTCGGGGTCAGCACAAGCGCAATGTTGTTGAGATTGTGCTTCCGTCGCGTGTGTAAGATGAAACACGCTCTTGTCGCAAAACACATCCTGCGCGGCCCCATCGGCATCCCGCCATCTCTTCCATCGGTCCCCCCCTGGGATGCTACGTAAGACCGGCCTTTTCGGGCCAGCCTGGTTGTCTTGGATATCCCGTCCATCCTCGTAGCGCCCGTCGTCGCAATCGTGCCCAAACTGTTTGTTAATACCGTCGTCTGCAAACAACTCCACTTGGTACATCCCGTCGCCATGGTCGCATCTCATGCAATACCTCCTCCTCCTCTTTCACGTTCTCGGCCGCCGTCGTGCTTGGTCCGCGGAGGCCTGGGGGGGGGGTCGCCCTGGCGAGGAGGGCTTGTCGGAGCTCTTGGAGATCCACCCGGTGGAAGGCATCTTGGAAAACTGGGCCTTTGACGTTGCCTGGTGTCCACCCGAAGGCCGTGTAGATTGTCCGAGAAACTGCTGAGCCTGTCGCAAGTCTGCTGGAGGTCCACCATGCGTTTGACCCGCGGGCTACTACCAGGATGTAAGGCACCGTCCTCCTGGACGGTCGGGGTGGTCTGCGCGCCAGTTGTCCGAATGTGGCTGTCAGCAGCTGTTGGTTCTGGTCAGGTTTCAAAAGCATGTTTCGAGCCCACCCGACGCGGTGAAAGATGGCTTCCATCTGCATCGGGAGGGCCCGCCAGTGTCTGAGCGTCTGAGCACCTCGAAACTCGTCATGCTCCTGACCTGTCCCTCGGCGTCGGTCCTAATGGCGGCGTGTTTTTTTGCGATGCTCTGTTGGTGGTAGGTAGACTTATCGACGCAATTCAAGCCCTGTTTGACCTCCTTGCGCACGAACAACGATCGTCGCTTCTATTTGAATGGGACCCCAGCTCGAAACCAGAAGCCTCCTTGTTCTCCGAACGCTTGTTTCGTGGCCCTGATCCGACGGGTGATCTCGCTGCCGAAAGTCCGCGCCGTATTGAGGTGGGGGCCGAGGTACCTGGCGCTCTGGACCCTGCGCCCTGGGAGAGCACGCCTGTCATTCCGCGGTTCGCGGCATTCTGTCGTTGTCCCCTTGCCCCTGACCTGCGCGATGTTTTCCCGTCGCCCCTGTTTTGCTGGCGCTCTGTCGGCAAGAGTCGGGCATGGAGGACATCGCCCGCCTTGCTTGCCTTCGCAGCCAGATCCTGGCTGGGCCAGGTGTGTAGACGCGCTTATCAGGATCTTCTGCAGCTTGTCTGCACATTTGACGAGACCCACGTCTGATAGTTTGGCGAATATCTGGCATGCAACAAACAGTAGTCCATCTCCGCGTATTTGCTCTAGACAGTCCTCCTTCCACTGCTGGACTGGTGAGGAGAAGCATGCTGGAAGTTGGCCGCCATGAGCGGGCCTCCGATCAGGCCTCCGCACCCTGGTCTTATTGTCATGCCCTCGGGCCGGTCGCAGCACGGGAGCCAGAACGAACGGTGCTGGTATCGAGCTTCCCCCTGGAGCCAGACATCCTGCGGTGGCAGTTGATTTGTAGCATCGTCCATGCCACTCCAGTTACAACCAGTGAAGGCGTTCGACATGTTTCTCATTGCCGCGGTACAGGAGAGACCGAGGGAAACCATTCTCGACTGCACGCCCAAGCTGGCTAACACCGCTCCATCCCGCCTCCTGCCCACCACGAATCCGTAGTCCTCATCCTCCCATGGTCGTGCTCCCGCCCGCCGTAGTTGTGCTGCGTAGTAGCCTTTACCCAAGAGGTCTAACATGTGGTAGACACGTTTACACATTGGGCCCTTTTTTCCGTATTTCCCTTCGAACTGCTGTACCCGTACTACCGTGCCAACTCACAGCGGCTTCCGCTGGATGTGCATTGGTTTGAATGTCTTTTCCAGCTGGTGTCGGAGTTCTCTGGAGGATACTGTTGCGTTGTCCATGCCAATCCCCTTTCGGTCCTGTACCTCCGCTGGGCGTTTCAAGAGCATCCTCCACACCCTCTGAGATGTAGGTAAGGGGCGGATGAGAGAGACACACATTATCGCCATACCTTTAGTCTTGCTGCCTAGCTACCATGTGCTCCTTCCTCGGACGCAAGGAACTGAGCCGGCAACAGTTGCAAACAACAGCTTGCATGTGCATTCCATTTTCTCACTCGTTCGGCTTCCTCTTTAATCGACTTTATTCGCTCAACCATCGGTATCCGTGTTTTGACCTTCCTCACTTCCTCGCCAACCGCATGGCGAGCGTATACTCTGAGCCCTTTCGGGCTTACTTCTTTTACTCGTCTTAGGCGCCTATCTTTTTGCCCAGCCACGCTCGCCCTGTTTAGTTTGTTGCGCACTTTGCCGAAGTCGGCCTTTTTGTTGTCTTTTTGCCACCAAGCGCTACAAGCTTGGCACTTGGAGCCCGCCCAACCCAAAAAGGAGGAAGTGTCTGAGAAGGAAGACGAGGGCCAGGCCTTTCAATCCTCCACCAGCTGAAAGACGCTCGGGTCCTTGAGCTTGATCCGCAGAGCCGCCAGCTTGGCCCTGTCTCCCCTGCACTTGGCCATCAGCGCCTTCGACGTGTAGACCCTCTGGATGGTCAGCTTGAGCCCGAGGTGGGGGAAGTCCACGATGCGGTACTTCTTGGCGCCCGCCTAGAAGTTCCAAATACCAGCGAAAACATCAACTTTCGGAGGTCCACACCGCCGCAGCGGTCGATCGGAGTCGAGAAGCGGCCCGACCCAATCCCCGCACCTCGGACATGATCTCGATCCGATCCGACACTCACGACTGCACCCGGCTGAGGGGGATACGTGAGGAGGGGACCAGCCCAGGGGTGGAAGCATCGACCTGGAATCGGCGACAGGCCACCGACCGATATCAAATGCGCACGCTCCTCGGCGGAAAGGGGCCATACCTCCACCCCCTCTCGGCGATTCGTGAGCGAGTGGAGGTCGATGTATCTCCCCCTCCGGGACCCTCGGCCTCTGCCAGGGTGCGCTCTGACCGAAGCCTCGACAGGAATCCGGCCACGGCGACGAAGGATCTCCAGGACGAGCAGCGGCATCGGCATCGTCCTGAGCCCCGACGCTGCGAAACGTGCAGCACTGCGGAACATCAGGTCTGGACCCCTCGACCTCCTCCTCCTCCTCCTCCTCCTCCTCCTCCTCCTCCTCCTCCTCCTCTCGTCGCCCTCCTCCTTCAACGTCATCCTCCTCCTTCTGCTCCTGCTCCTCCTCCTCCTCCTCCTGCTCCTCCTGCTCCTCCTCCTCCGCGCCGCTCTCGAGCCGGATCGAGCCGTGAGGGCCCAGGGGCCCGAAAATGGGGCGACGGCGCCCGGCGCAACGACATTGCGCTGCTCGGATCTCAGGGCGTCGGAGACCCTGCGAAGCAGACCAGGACCCTTCTGGCGATGACGTTCGCATCCAGCATGAGACACATGATTATTTTCGGCTCCCCCCTCTGGCGGCACCGTGGGCACACATCCCAGGCAGCGCAATACACGTGATCCATGCGGTGCTATGTGGTGCAATCTATGTGGTGTAAGCTATGTGGAGCAATTTACGTGGTGCAACGCACCCTGCCGAACTTGAAATTGTCGAATGCACTGTTCGAGCAATCATACCACCCACCGACCCGCAACTTGGCTTGCAAAACCCATGCGGCGGCGACTGCGATGACTGCTCGGCCCTGGCCGGCGCATCGTCGCGGCCACGCTAGCGCGCATGTCGCGCGCAAAGCGGCCAGCTAGTTTGGCGCGACCGACGCGGCCGCGGTGGCGCTGACCGCTGGGCACTTCCCAGCGGGCACTTCAGTGCGAGTCGGCGACTTGGGCAGGCGCTGTACCATGGGAGCGAGGACAACGGTAGACGCGATGATGACAGTAGCGATGCTGGCGACGATGATGACATCGACGACGGCACAGCCAGTGACGGCGCCGATGCTGCTCACGCCGACGACGATGACGGCGTCCTCGCGTTGGTGATGAAGGTTTCGGAAAGGTTTCGACATGCGCGCCCAGCCGACGTGCGAGAGTGGCCCGCATGGTATCATTTGAAGCGGATCGTGCCCCACCCCCCTGTACGAGAGCAAGGACGTTCGAATGAGTTCGACATGCGGCGCGGAAGGCCCGTTTGGCAGAATTTGACGAACATGTTGAACAACCGATGGTGTTCTTCAGAATTCGCAAGACCGCGAGCGCAGGTTATCTATTGGCTGTCTTGTTCTTCTTACTGTCTGTATTGAGAGCTGTTGTTGCAAAGACATGTTTTTTCCTCCTGTCTTCGGGACACTCGATTTCGAAATCCTTACGAAGCCTTCAGTTTTTTGAAAGAATTCGGCATGCGCGCGCGACGACGCGCGCGAGTGCACTTCGCCCCGTTCTTTTGTAAGGGAGCGACAGCACGCGCGCAAGGGCGTTCTTGCGATTCCGACATGCGCGCGCGCGAGAGGCCCGTGTGGTAGCATGCTATGAACATGCTGAACAACTTGATATTTTCTTAGAAATCCGCAAGAGCCTGAGCGCACGTTTTGTTTGAACATCCTTGTTGGCAAACCATGTGTTTTGGATGTTGCTGGGGCACTCGACTTTGAAATCCTTAAGACACCTGAGGTTTCGAAGGATTCCGGCATGCGCGCGCGAAGACGCGCGCGTGTACACTTTGTCCCATTTGTTGCAAGGGGTTCTTGGAAACATATCAGTTTTGATACACGAGTGCGCTCGCGTAGTAGTTTTTTGCAGAGGATCATTGGGGGGCGATGCCGGCCTGCCTGAGATGGTATCAATTCATATTTCGCATGGGCGATGGGGCAGAGTCGTATGTAAATTGCAATGCGAAAAAGTGGCCGTCAAGTCGGGGGGGGAAGGGGGGGGGCAACCCAGGTGCGCTCGCGTCATACCTGACGTCCTATCCCTCCTTCCCATCCCTTACCATGGCATAAATCTCCTCTCCATACGCAGCATCGGATGTCGTAGCATAGCATAGCACTACGTGGCATAGCATGGTGTTGAATATTAGCGCGTAGCATGGCACAGCATAGTGTGACAACGCCCCACAGTGGGGGGGGGGGCTTCTGCGGCCCGACACATCAACGAAACGACACCGAATGTGGAATCACTTCCGATGGTTTCTTCAGGAGGCCATTTTTTAGATTTGGGGGCCTATTTGGAAGGATTGAAAACCATGCCGTGGCATGGCACTGGAAATAATGACGCCAGCGCTGCAGCGGGAGCACGACTCGGAACGAGCGGAAGCGCGGAAATGAGGCCAGCGCTGCAGCGGGAGCACGATTCAGAACGATCGGCAGCCCAGAAATGAAGCCAGCGCCTCAGCGAGAGCAGCATTTTGAACAAAAGCCCAAGCGCGGAAACGCGGAAATGAGGACGCGTAGCCTAACACAGCATGGCGTGGGGACGCCCCACAGTGGGGGAGGGCTTCTGCGGCCCAGAGAACAACAACGAATCGACACCGAAGGTGTAATCACTGCTGATGTTTTTTCGGGAGGCCATTTTTTAGATTTGGGGGCCTATTTGGAAGGATTGGACACCATGCCGTGGCATGGCACTAAAATAATGACGCCAGCGCTGCAGCGGGAGCACGGCTCGAAACGAGCGGAAGCGCGGAAATTAGGCCAGCGCTGCAGCGGGAACACGATTCAGAACGATCGGCAGCCCGAAAATGACGCCAACGCTTCGGCGAAGCGTATTTTGAAAAAGAACCAAAAGAAAACTCGTTTCCCGGGAATCTTGTGTCAAAAACAATACGCGGAGGGGGGCCGGCCATTTCCCGGACGGCACCAGGGGAGAGAGGAGAGTAGTATTCATACATGTTGCTTAAATGTAAAATCTACCTTTTAAGAGCGAAGAGAAAGGAGAGCTTCTGTAGTGTAAGCTAGGTTGTACAGTCCACGTGGTGCAGTCTAAGTGGTGCTATTGATTTTTACAAACGAGTTGACACATTCCATGCTCCTGCAAACATCCCAACTACCCACCCGCAACTTGGTTTACAAAACGCATGCGGGGGCGATTGCGATGGGTGCTTGGCGTTGGCTGGTGCATCTCTGCGGCCACGCTAGCCCCCGCATGCTCGCGCGCAAAGCGGCCAGCAAGCTTGGCGCGACCGACGCGGCCGCGGTGGCGCTGACCGCTGGGCACTTCCCAGCGGCCATTTAAATGCGAATCGGCGACTTGGGCAGGCGCTGTATCATGGCAGCGTGGACATCGGTAGACGCGATGATGGTAGTAGCGATGCTGGTGACGATGATGACAACGACGACGGCACAGCCAGTGACGGCGCCGATGCTGATCACGCCGACGACGATGACGGCGTCCTCGCGTCGGTGATGAAGGTTTCGGGAACAGCTCGACATGCGCGCCCGGCCGACGCGCGAGTGGCCCGCATGGTATCATTTGAAACGGATCGCGCCCCCACCCAGCACGCGCGCAAGGACGTGCGAGTAAGTTCGACATTCGGCGCGAGAGGCCCATCTGGCAGAATTTGATGACATGACATGTTGAAAAAACCGATGGGCTTTTTCTTTAAGGAGGTCGCAAGATCGCGTGTGTGTGTGTGTTTTGGTCATATGTATATAAATGCATCGTTCTGCACATGATGTAATGTTATTTTAATACATATATATAGATGTATAGATGAGTGCTTATTTGTTCGGTAACTGAAGTTGCAAAGCTGTGTGTTTTATCTGTTTTCGGGGCACTCGTTTTTGAAATCCCTGTGGAACGTACGGTTTTTGATGGATTTCGGCATGCGCGCGACGACGCGCGTGTGCGCACGTCGTCTGATTTTATTGCGAGGGAGTCTTGCGACAGCAAGCGCGCAAGGGCGTTCGAGCGATTTCGACATGCGCGCGCGCGAGAGGCCCGCTTGGTAGCATTGTATGAAAACGTTGAAAACAAGCGAAGGTTTTCTTAAGAATTCGCAAGAGCGCGGGCGCAGGCTTTGTTTGAAAACCCTTGTTGCAAAACCATGTGTTTGTGTGTTGTCGGGACACTCGATTTTGCAACCCTTACGACACCTGAGGTTTTGGAAATATTCTGGCATTCGCGCGCGATGACGCGCGCGTGTGCACTTCGTTCTGTTTTGTTTCAACGGATTCTTGAATAATTATGATTTATGGTAAACGAGTGCGCGTTTTTTCCCAACCATCCTGTGGTGTTGGGTCCTCGTTTTGAAAAGGCGGTCCCCGCGTTCTTCTCCTCTCCTCCTCCTTTTCCTCTCCTCTCCTCCTCCTCCTCCTCCTCCTCCTCCTCCTCCTCCTCCTCCTCCTCCTCCTCCCCCTCCTCGCCTATGCTCTCCGCATGTCTTGTGGTGTTGGGTCCTCGATTTGAAGAGACAGCGCCCCGCATTCCTCCTCCTCCTCCTCCTCCCGCTGCCCCCCTCCTCCCTCTCCTCCCGTCACCCTCCTCACTTTGGCACACCCCTCACACGTTTCGTGGCCCCAAAGGGAGATCCACTGAAGGTTCCAGTGGCGGGGTCCGCATGAGGTTCCCAGCCCATTTCGGCACACCCTTTACACGTTTCGTGGCTCAACAGGGAGCTTCACCGAAGGCCCCAGTGGCAGGGTCTGCATGCGGTTCCCCGCTTATTTCGACACACCCCTCACACGAATCGTGGCCCCATAGGGAGGCCCGTCGAACGATGTACCCAGAACGCGGTATCCACAACTGCTTATGGTTGGGTTCTTCGCTAGGTTATTTTTGTTTTTGCAGAGGGTGAGGAGGTGGGGTCTATACCGGCCTTGTAGAGATGGTGTGCTTTCATATCTGAGATGGGCAATATGGGGCAGAACCGGATGCAAGTTGCAACGCCAAGAGGTGACCCGTGAACCCCAAGGGGGGGTGGTAGATCCGAATATACTTTTGGAGAGGAGGCTCTGTACGGTGGTAGCTATGTGGTGCAATCCGTGAGGCCCAGTAGCAGCAGCGCGAGGCGGCGGGTGGCAACGAGGCGGCGACAGGCGGCGACTGGGCGGCGACGGGGCGGCGGCGGGGCGGCGACGAAGCGACGACGGGGCGGCGGTGGCGACAACATATTCGCCGCCAGACCGACTCGCAGGCCCAGACGACGGGGCGGTGACGAAGCGACGACGGGGCGGCGACGACGACAGCATAGCTCACAGACCGACACGCAGCCTCAGACACACAAGGAAGAACCTCTCAGCGCAAGCGCTGTTTGAGGAAGGGAAGCTCTGGAGACCTCTCGGGGAGGAGTGGGAGAAAGGAGAAGGAGGAGGAGGAGGAGGAGGACCCTGCAGGAGATATTGCTTCCGCCCCAGCCCTGGCGCCAGAAGCGTTGCAATCTCCTTTGACGAGGGGAGGGGCGCGGTACTGACTGCCTCCTGCGATTATAAAACGGCACGAAGATCCGGACAAAATCGGATCGGGATAACTCGAAATCTCTGAGAATCGGCGGGTTTGGAGGATGTATTGGGCGCCGCGGCCGCTCCAGAGCGTTCCGGAACGCTCTGAGAGCGCTCCGGAACGCTCTGGAGCGATTTATCCCGATCCTGGCCCTGTTTTAGATGACCTCCTCCTCTCTTGAGGCTCAGCTCAGGCCTGCTTTGCGCCCGCCGCGGCGAGCCCCGGCGACCCAGTGGGCGCCGCGGAGGGCGCCGGCGCCACCCCCGCCGAGCTCCTGGCCCGCGGCCTCTTCGCCAGGCGCGGGCCATCGGCGGCGGAGGGCCGCTTGTAGCCGCGGGGCTTCGGGAGCAGCGCGACGGCCCTCGCGAGCCTCTCCTGGGGCGTGCAGAGATCGGGGGTCCCATAATGATGATAGTGATGATAATGATGATGATAACAATGATGATCATAATGATGCTAATGATGATAATAATGATCATCGTTATCATCATTATCATCATTATCATCATCATTATCATCATTATCATCGTTCTCATCATTAATAACAATCCTCGTCCCATGCAACCCTCGACGAAAGTAGCCTCAAAATTGTGTCCACGAGCGTGCGAAGTACTTGCTGGCGCCCCCTCTCAAGCGTCGGCCATCGCAGAGCTTCCGAGTCGCGCCGGCCCAGACCGCGTGTCGCTCCGCTTCGACGTTGACGGGGCGACAGGGGGCGACATGTCAGGGGCGGGCCCACAGCTTTTGAAGTCAATTTTGTCGAGGGTTGTAGGTCTCCTGCGGTCGGGAACGGTTGCTTCGCGTGTCGCGGCGGCGGCCCCAGCGACGCGCTGTCCCTTGCAGCACGATGTCGTGTCGCTCCGCTCCGCGGGGCGGGAGGCTAGGAAAGGCTCGGAGCGCTGATGCCCGGGGGCCAGGGGGTGGACAGCGTATCGCGCCGAAGCGTGGTTCGACGAGCGCGTTCCACTACTCGAAAAGTAACTAGTCGCAAATGGCCTGGATACCCCGCGGGGGACCTACGATAAATTACGTCAAAACCGACGTGTGATTTTCGGACATTTGCGAGTAGGCACTTTGTGAGTAGTGGAACGCGCTCGGTGAGTGGCAGGCCGTGCTTCCCGGCGGGTCTCCGACGACGGCCAGCAGGCCCCTCCCCTCTCCCGCAGCGACTGCCGGAGGGGGGCCTTCGCGGAGGCGTGGGAGCTCGCCGAGAAGAGGATGACGGAGAACCTCGGCGGCGCGCGGATGGGGTGGCCCGAGCGGGGGGGGGCGGGTGGCCTGACACGAAGCCCTGGGGGCTTCTCAGAAGCACTCCCGGCTTCCGAGCAGCCTTCCTCGAGGCTTCCGGGCCCTTCTCAGATGCACCCCGCCCTGTTACACAAGGCCGCCCCCCTCGCTGCCGCCCCCCTGTCGGGCGCGCGCTGGCACGGGCTGGGGATCTGTGGATATGGCGCGAGGCCGCCAGATCCACTGATCAGGGAAAGCACTACCAACTTTGCTCCGTAACATCCTTCTCACTTCCCTTCTTCACCGCTTGTTGGGGAATCTCCTCATTTCGATTTGAGGCCCAGGCAGAATCATCTATGAGTGTTCAGCTCTATGCCAGTGAACCTGGGCCGTTACATGAGAATGAATTCCAAAACGACTCGTTTACTCTAATAGAACTCATTTCAAGCATGATTCCACACATGCCTGAACTAGAAGAAAACTGGGAGGTTTTTCTGACACATGCGACACGTGCAACCCGATTTAGCGACGTCGCGCGCCGATTTCTCATGGCAACGGGACCCGCCGCCGATCCGCGCGCCTCAATCCGTGTGTTGCGCTTGCCCGCATCTGCGCGCCGCCGAGAACCGCTCCCCCTCGAAGTCCTCCACCTCGTGCGCGCGGAGGCCGTCGAAGAGCTCCCACCTGTTCGAGGGAGCGAGGGGAGATAGGGGGAGCGAGGGATGCAGGGGGGGGGGGGGGGGGCAGGAGAAGGGAGCGAAAGTCGGGAGAACGATGGGAGAGCATGAGGAGGAGCAGGAGGAGGAGGAGTGCGGGGGGGGGGGGATGGGGGGAGGAGGAAGAGGAGATACAGGGCAGTTTTTAATACATAGGATTTTTGAACACATAGGGCTTAATAATGATGAATTTATGAATAAATTTATGCATGAACTCATCGTTGTTTTCAGTACTGAATCCCTGCATTCTTAATACATGATCCGCACGCGGAGCATGTATTAAAAACGGCACTGTGTGGGCAGGCAGGCGAAGGAATGCTTGGGGGGATGGCCACAAAAAGGGGGGGGGGGCGGAGGGGGAGAAGAGGAAGCATGGCCCGCGAATGAGGGTGCAGAGGACGAGACAGCGGAGCGCTACGACGAGGAGAACGAGGATATAGATGAGCGGATGGGGCGCCGATCCGTTCGAACAGAGGCCAGCACCAAGAGCTCTGATGGACGAAGGGCCGCGCCACGACGGACCAGTGCACCGAGGCAAAGGAGGCCCGACCGAATACTTACCACCACGGATACACAGGAGGATGAGGACGAGGATGAGGATGATGAGGAGGAGGAGGAGGAGGAGGAGGAGGAGGAGGAGGAGGAGGAGATGGGGATGAGGATGAGGAGGATGAGGAGGAGGAGGGAGGAGGAGGAGGAGGAGGAGGAGGAGGAGGAGGAGGAGGAGGAGGAGGAGGAGGAGGGGGAGGGAGGGGGGGGGAGGGGGAGGAGGAGGAGGAGGAGGGGAGGAGGAGGAGGGAGGAGGAGGAGGAGGAGGAAAAGGAGGAGGAGGAGGAAGGAGGAGGAGGAACAGGAGGAGGCGTACTCGAGCACACCGAATGCCCAAGCAGCGATGCTGGAGCACAGCCCCCCGGCCGAAGCTCCTGCCTTAGAGGCCTCCTAGATGGGGTCGGAATAGATGGGGTCGGAGGATCGCGCCGCATCGCCGATGCCTCGCCGATGCATCGGCGATGCATCGGTGATGCACTGGCGACGTCGGCGATGCATCGGCGATGCGGCGCGATCCTCCGACCCCATGTATTCCGACCCCATCTAGGAGGCCTAGATGCCTCCCGCGCCCGTGCGGGCATCTTTCCTGGGGCCGCCGGGGGGCGCGCGCCTCTGAGCCAACAGAGAGCGCCTCGTGGGCCTGCCGCTCGGGGCGAGCACCGCCCCTCCCTCACCGCACTCCGCGAGGAACGAGACGGTGTACGGCGATGGCACCGGACGAGGAACCGACGACTCTGACGAACGAACAACACACACCCATACCCATAGGGGGGTCGTTGGGAGGAGGACTGGCTATGGGTATTGGTGCGGGTTGTCGGACCCTGGGGAACGCTCCCGTTCGAGCGGGGACCCCCGTTCGACAACACGCACCCATAGCCCTCTCCGACCCCCCTATGGGTATGGGTGTTTGTTCTTGTTGTTTCGTCAGACTCAGGGCACGACGACACACGAGTCCACGCCGGGACGACAAGGAGACCTGAGCAGGCACCCGTAGCTGACCGGAAAGGGGCCATCGAATATCGGCCGCCCTGGGCACAAGCGAGAACTCCAGGGCCACCACGGGCCAGCCGAAAGTCCGCTGTGGGACCGAGGAAGTACAAGTAAGCGCCAGTCGCGAACCAAAGAGGATGATAGGGTCTCGAAGCTGGTGGGACACGAAATCGTGGATTGGCCATGGATGTCACCCCCGCCCTCATCAGATAAGGAGCCCTCCAGGGTCCGAAGCCCCCTGCGCACGCTCCTTAACCAACGGCCCCACCGTATGGATACGGCATTCATCAACGGCCTCCTCTCGGAGTGAAGCCGCCCTCAATCCGCGTGATGCTGCACAAGATTTTGACTTTCGGAGGGTTGGGCTTGATACGCCGCTATCAAGAGAAAGCCACACTTGAAACACTATATCTGCCTCCGTTCGTGAATCAATTGTGCACTGATCGGCTTCGTATCGCAAACCAACTGACAGTTCAACCGACCAAATGACAGTTCAAACTCTCTACAATTTCTGAGGAGAACCATCCTGTGAACATTGACGTGGGTCGATGTCGATGCGTGCAACCGGTGGACACTTCAAACCTCAAGGCGATAATCCTAGCCCGCCCTACCATCGTGTCTGTTGGTGCCACGAGGAGGAACGGCTTACGATGAAGAGGAATGGGCGAGGAGGACGAGGAGTCATAGGTGGAGGAGGACGACGAATGGGTGAGAAGGGTGATGAGTAGTCAGATGACGATAGTGACGATGCTGCTGCTGCTGCTGATGATGATGATGATGATGGTGATGGTGATGATGATGATGATGATGATGATGATGATGATGATGATGATGATGATGATGATGATGATGATGATCATGCTAATGTGGTAGTGAGAACAATATTAGTCATGCTGATGCTGCTGCTGATGATGATGATGATCATGCTGATGCTGATGCTGATGCTGATGCTGATGATGATGATGATGATGATGATGATGATGCTGATGATGATGATGATGATGTTGATGTTGAGGAGGAGGGGTGAGAAGGGTACATATGATGAGAAGACGGGGGAGGCAGGGACACCGGGCGATGCGGAGGAGGGAGAGGAGCAGGAGCAGGAGCAGGAGTCAGGAGGACTATCAAGGGGGGGGAGGAGGAGGGCGAGGAGAAGGAAGAGGTAAAGGACGAGGCGGAGCGATGCAGGAGAAGGCCAATGTGGGGTGAGGAGGGGATGGGAGAGGGAAAGGTTTGGAGGAGGATATGGGGGACAGGCAGGGGAAGGGGACGCAATGTGGGATAAGCAGCTAAGCAGGAGCTGCAGGATAAGCAGGATAGGTCGGATACGCAACAGCGACAGGAGCAGGCGCAGGAGCAAAAGACAGAAGTGGGGGAAACACACACACAGATACCGATGCCGCGACCTCCCAGACATCTCCTGGGGTGCGTTCTGGCCAAGACTTCGGAGCGAATCCAGCCGTGGCGGCGCTGGATGGGTAGAGGCATCGGTGCCCTCATGGGCGCGAGGAGGAGGAGGAGGAAGAGGAGGAGGAGGAGGAGGAGGAGGAGGAGGAGGAGGAGGAGGAGGAGGAGGAGGAGGAGGAGGGGAGGGAGGAGGAGGAGGAGGAGGTGGAGGAGGAGGACGACGAGGAGGAGCACGAGGAAGACGGCGAAGTCCACCGCCCGACGGTGGCGGCAACAGCGGGCGGCGAGGACGACGCCGCCTGCGCGAGGCGTCGATGGGCCTGCGCTCGCTCCGGGGCAGCTCGTCCAGCCCCAGCGACCTGTCGTCCTGCCGGGCCGGCGCCGCTCCCGAGCTCCCCCCATCCAGCTGGCCCCTCTTCTCCTCCCCTTCCCCTCCTCGCTGCGCCAATGGAACTCCACCCTTGCATGGGGCCTGTGAGGAGAGGCTTCGGAGGGAGGGCTTCTCGCAACATCGTTGATGGGTCGTGGGTTTGCTGGTCCTCGTCCTCCTCCTCCTCCTCCTCCTCCTCCTCCTCCCAGTCCCCTTGCCCACGCCCTCCTCCGTCGCTCCCCCCTCCCTACTCCTCCCTCCACTCCTTCCCCTTCTCCATTCGGGTGTTGCTAGAAGTTCCCCATGGCCCCCAGGATTTCCAAGAAGGCCCCCACGGCCTCCAGAGCACCCCCCGTGCAAGCCGGGTACGACCGGACCCTGCTCCAGAGGTCACCAGTTCTTTCTGGAGCGCCAGGCCTTCCCTGGCAGGGCCCTGGGGCCACCCTGGGCCAGAACCGTCACCCGCCAGCGCCCAACGCCGCGCCGTGCCAGGTCGCACGGTGGCCCCTCGCTCGTGCTCGCTGCCAGCCCAGTGGGCCAGTTTGGCGCGCGCCGGTAGCGGGGTGCCGGCCAGGGCGAGGGAAGGCTTCTCCTTCTCACCCGCCGCGGCCGAAACGGGGCCGCCTCGTCTCCCGCGTGTAGCCCCTGCCCTCACATGGAAGGAATACGACCGTTGAGAGGCAAGACCTCGCGCATCTGCATGCGCGTGCGAGCGCGCTCAGGGGCTCCAAAGTGGGGCGAAAAGCTGAGGCACCTTGGACAAGGGGCACCTTGGGCTAAAATGGAGCGAAAGCTGGGGGCCCTGGGCCGATTCCCCTTCCCCCGTGGCGCCCAGCTTCGCGCTTCGCGCTGCGCGAGGCGCGAAGAAACCTCGCGCTCCCGCGCCCGCCCCCCAGGGGGAGAAGAAGAGGAGGCTGAGGAGGCGGCCGAGGAGGAGGAGGAGGAGGAGGAGGAGGAGGAGGAGGAGGAGGAGGAAGAGGAGGAGAAGGAGGAGGAGGAGGAGGAGGAGAGGAGAGGAAGTGGTGATGGTGGTGGAGGAATAGGAGGAGGAGGAGGAGGAGAGGAGGAGGAGGAGGAGGAGGAGGAGGAGGAGGGAGGAGGAGGAGGAGGAGGAGGAGGGAGGAGGAGGAGGAGGAGGAGGAGGAGGAGGAGGGAGGAGGAGGAGAGGAGGAGGAGAGGAGGAGGAGGAGGAGGAGGAGCAGGAGGAGGATGAGGATGAGAGGAGGAGGAGGAGGAGGAGGAGGAGGAGGAGGAGGAGGAGGAGGAGGAGGGGGAGTCGGAGCCGAGCTGCGAGCCGCGGGTACCTCCGCGCCCTCGAGGGCGCCCCTTTGCTCCCTCCCTCCCTGGGGCGGAAGGCAGCGCGGAGAGGGCCCCCCTCGCGCAGACCCACGGCCCGTCGCCGCCCGCCGCCGCCCCTCCGCTGCCCCCCCTTCCTCTGCAGGGGGGAGGTCGGCTCTCTTGCTGCCTCCTGCTTTCCCCTCGGCGGCGAGCGCGGGGGGGAGATGGGGGAGGAGGAGAGCTGAAAGGGGCCCTGGGACACACAAGTAAAGACACACACACACAAATAACAGGATTCCCCTTATTTCCCCATGTGTTCTGGGTTTCTGTCTTCCCCCCTCACTTCCCATAGTTTCCCATATTTTCGGGGGAATCGACGAGTAATTGTGTCTGTGTGTGTTTGTTTCCCCTCCTGAAGAGTGCCCTCTCAGAAGGCGGCGGGGCTTCTCAGAGGCGCCCCGGCCTTCTGGGAGGTTCCTTTCTGTGCCCTCGGCGAAGGCCCAGGACACCTCGGAGGAGGCTGGGGGACTTCCGAGCCTTCGGAGAAGGTCCGCCCCTTCTCACTTCCACCCTGGGCTCGCCGCCGATGCTTTCCAGCTTTCTTCCGCTTGGGCGCTCGATGTGAATTGAGCGCTGCCTCTCCAGTCCACTCCTCTCCTCTCCTTTCCCGCTTCCTCCCCTGCTCCTCCTCGCGCCGTCACTCTTCACCTGTGCTTCCCCTCCCTCGCGCTCCGTGGGCGCTGCCAGCTGCGCAAGCGTCGCCATTTCGTGATCCCCCTGGGTCTCCCCGGCGGTCCTTCATTAACCAAACTCCCGCGACAGCCCCATGAACGGCGAGCATGATCATCACTGAGCCCACCCCGTGAACCAGTCTTCTCAGGGGGACGGGGCCCCCCTCCCAAGAGCCCCCCCCCCCACCACACCCGCCCAGGGAGCCCCGCATCGGCGGCGACTCGCGCGAGCAAAGGCGCCGCACGCGCACGGGGCTGCTACGAGAGAGTGCCCGCGAGGCAGGGGCCTCCTGGAGATGCCCTTGCCCCCCTCGAGCCCGCCTCAGGAGCTGCCCTGCGAGCTCCTCGCGGAGCCCTCCCCAGAGGGGACCGCCCCGAGAGCCCGCCCCCGGGGCAGCCCAGCAGGGCGGGCCGCCCCGCCCCCCGCGGAGGAGCGCTCCCCGGGAGCCCCGACGGTCCTCGCCAGGGGCGCGCCCCGAGGCCTCCCCGAGGAGTGCCCTCCTCACTGGGAGGCCTCTCTCGCTCTGGGCCAATCTCCCGCGAGCTTCTCTCCCCCCCCCCGAGAGCTCCTCGCGCAGAGTCCTCCTCCTCCTCCTCCTCCTCCTCCTCCTCCTCCTCCTCCTTGGGAGGAGGAGGAGGAGGAGGAGGAGGAGGAGGAGGAGGAGCATAATAATATCAATACTGAAAATAATACTACTACTACTACTACTACTACTACTACTACTACTACTACTACTACTACTACTACTACTACTACTACTACTACTACTACTACTACTACTACTACTACTACTACTAATAATAAACATAAGAATAATAATACGAGTTCTACTACTATGACTAATACTAATATTATTAATAATATTAATAATATTGATAACAATAAGGCTAATACTAATACTACTAATAAGGATAATCATAATATTAATACTGATAATACTAATAAGAATCATAATAATAATTGTAATAATAATGGTATTACTACTGATAATAATAACATTAAAAATAATAATACTATTAATCGTAATACTAATGGTAATAATACTAGTAATAATAATACTAATAATAATACTAATAAGGAGGAGGAGGAAGAAGAGGAGGAGGAGGAGCTCTTCCTCCGCCTTCGCCTCCTCCTCCGCCTCCTCCTCCTCCTGCTCCTCCTCCTCCTCCTCCTCCTCCTCCTCCTCCTCCTCCTCCTCCTCCTCCCCCTCGCCCCGCCCCAGGAGCGCGCCCGCGAGAAGGCACCCCCCACGCAGCCCAGCCCGGGGGGCCTCCTCGGGAGCCTCCCCGGTGGAGAGCCCGCGAGAATATTTGCCCCGGGAGAGTCCACGGGGAGCACTTTCTGAAAGCCAGGGCTGAACCTAAACGGTGTTTTGCGTTTCCGTATTGTTTTCGTTTTCCCTCGCTTTTGTCTCGAATCCGCCCTTGCCGCAAGACGAAGTCGAAACGAAAACGGCCCACGAAGTCGCCCAAAACACTGTTTAGGTCCAGCCCTGCTGAAAGCCGTTCGTCATCACTGTGTTCCCTCCATCCTCGCCCTCCGGGCCGTCACCCGTGCCCCTCGTGTCCTCGCTTTCGTGCTCGCCCACGTTCCCTCTTCCCCTGCTTGCGCAACGGTCCTTCTCGTGGTCGTCGTCGACGTCCTTCACTCTTCCTTCCCCCCTCGACTTTCTCTCTCTCGGTGTTGCCTTATGTCGCTCCCCTTGGGTGCGCAGCGCGTAGCCTCCACGATCTGGTTGTCACTGGGGGTCGCGTGCCCTGTCGTAGCATCATTCGTTCGGTATGGGCCTGTTGCTGACACCGCTTGTTGCAGTGGGCGAGTCCCGCTCAATGTTGTTTTTAAGGAGAGAGAGAGAGAGAGAGCGAGAGAGAGAGAGAGAGCGAGAGAGAGAGAGAGAGAGAGAGAGAGAGAGAGGAAGAGAGAGAGAGAGAGAGCGAGAGAGAGAGAGAGAGAGAAAGAGAGAACGAGAGAGAGAGAGAGAGCGAGAGACAAAGAGAGAGCGAGAGAGAGAGAGGTACAGAGAGAGAGAGAGAGAGATTGAGACAGACCTAACAAGCAGGCAGACTTCCACGGCAGGGCTGTGGCGTCCACCTCCTGCTCCTCCTCCTCCTCCTCCTCCTCCTCCTCCCTCCGTGCTTGGCCTTCGGGGGGAGGGAGGGAGCCGTCTGCGGCCCTGCCTGCCGGGAGTGGGGACGTGCTGGCACCCGGGGCCGGCACGGGAGCGGAGACAGAGAGAGCGCTCTTCAGCAACCCGCCCCCGCGAGGAGCTTCCCGGCGCCGCTCGCTCGTGGGAGGGTCTCGGCGTCCGGGGCGTTTCTTCAGGTCGGCGTCTGCTCGTGGGAGCCCTGGCTGGCCATGGCTCGGACGTCCCTTCCCTGTGCTTTTTTTCCGGCTTCGTGCGTGGTTTCTTCGCCGAATGCTCCAGGATGCTCCTCGATGGTCCTCGCCGAAGGAAAAGTGCACACGTCCGAGCGATGCCAGGCCTGGTGTGCAGAGCTCCTTCGCGCCAGCGCCGCTCCCGGGGGCCTCGGTGCGACCCTGGAGCTCGGAGCTGACTGCGCAGCCTTTCGCGCTCTGGAGCCTCGGCGTCACGGGCTGCTCGTGGACGTCACCGCTCACTCCCGGGAGCCCTGGCACTCAGAACGTGCTGTCCCACTGCTCGCTCTGGGGTGCACGTCGTTCACTTCTAATCGCGCTCACTTCTGTAGTTGTGCTCGTTTCTAATTGTTCCTGGCCCCCCAGTGGCCAGGAAGAGGCCCAAGATAGAACAATTAGATGTGAAAAATTCAAAGAACTCTCGAATCATTAGAAATGAACAATGTGTACGTCACCGTTCACTCTTAGGAGCCTTAGCGTTCAGAACGTTCTGTCCCACTGCTCGCTCTTGGGTGCGTCACTAACTCGTGTGACAAGGGCTGTCTGGTCGCCTGGCGCTCTCGAGAACCTTGGCGTCGAAGCTGCGTCCGTCATTGGGCCGTCCGGAGGGGGTCCTCCGGGGGCTCTTTTGGGTGTATGGGGGCTCTCTTGGGCCGTTCTGGGGTCCTCTTCGCACGTCTCGGGGGCTTGGCCCGTCTTGGAGCTCTTCTTGGGCTTCGCTCTGGAGCTCTTGGGGTCTCCTGCGGCACTCGTGGGACTTTCTTGGGACCTTTTAAGCCGCCTTGCGGCTGTCTGTGACCGTCCTGGGGCCCTCTTGTGCCATCCTGGGGCTCGCTTGGGAATCTCCTGCGCCGTCTTGGGGCAATCTCGGAGGCCCTCAGAGCCGTCTTCGCCCGTTCGCTCGAAAATGCGAGAACCCAGAAACAAGGGACGCACTTCGGACCATCCATGTTTGTTGCCTCCTCAGGCCGCCTCGGGGGTCCTCTTGGGAGGCTCGCGGGCTGTCCTCGGAGCCCCTCGGGCCGCTAGGCTTGGACGAGTCGGCCACCGTCACTGTCGCCGTCGCCGTCACCCGAGTCGGTGGCCCTGACGACGGGGTGCCGCTGGCAGTGGCAGTGCCGAAACGAGCCCAGAGTCCAGCATAGCATGAGGATGCTCTGGGGGGGGGGGGGGGCTGTGCTCAGGGGAGGCTGCAGCACCGCTCAAAGATGTGCTGTCAACCAAACCTGCCGGGTGGGCCCTCCCCATTTCTCCGTGCACTTCAGCTTTGGCTTCGGCTTCAGCTGCGGGTGCACCTTGAAACGCCTTCGGGCCAGCTTACCCGAGTCGGATTTTCCGCTCGCACGGATGCTCCCCCCTCCCCCCTCCCCCCTTTGGCCGTCTTGGGGGACTTGGGTCGGCTTGGGCCCCTCTTGAGGCCCTGTTTGCAGCCTCCTACCCTCTTGGGCTCTCTTGCGTGCCTCTTTGACCCCCCTTGGGGATTCCTATGACCGTCCTGGGGGCATCTTGGGCCGTGTTGGGGCCCTCTTGGCAAACTCGTCGGCCGTCTTGGGGCAACCTCGGAGGCTCTCGGAGCCGCCTTCGGCCGATCTGGGCCTGAAAAAGCGATTACCCCAAAGTTATCCGGGCGAAGGACCAGACCATATGTAGTTGTGAATGCCTCGTTGTGGGCACCGCTTTCGGTGGAGCTCCCTATGGGTCGCGAAGCGTGTGAGGGGTGTGCCGAAATAAATGGTGGGGACGCATGCGACCGGCACCATTGGGGCCTTGGGTGGGGCTCCCTATGGGGCCACGAAGCGTGTAAGGTGTGTGTGTGTGTGTGCCGAAATTGGTGGCGGGATCGCATGCGAGCGGCATCAGTTGGGCCACTCGCGATGGGGCCACGACACGTGTGAGAGGTGTGCCGAAATTGGCGTCGGTGACACATGCGAACGGCACCGCTTTGGCCCTCGGTGGAATTCCATTGGGGCCACGAAACGTGTGAATGGCGTGCCGACATGGGTGGCGGGGATGCACGCGAACGACACCAGTTGGACCTTAGTTGGAGATCCTTATGGGGCCATGAAGCGTGTGAGGGGTGTGCCGACACGGGTGGCGGGGACGCATGCGAACGGCACCACTCGGACCCTATGTGGACACGAAGCGTGGGAGGTGTGAGCCGAAATGTGTGGCGGGGACGCATGCGAACGGCACCAGCTGGGCCTTCGTTGGAGCTCCCTGTGGGACCACGAAACGTGTGAGGGGGGTGCCGTAATGGGTGGCGCGGGGACGCATGCGAACGGCACCATTGTGGCCATGGGTGGAGCCCCCTATGGGGCCACGAAGCGTGAGGGGTGTGCCGACATGGGTGGCGGGGACGCATGCGAACGGCATCACTTGGACCTTGGGCGGGGCTCCTTATGGGACCACGAAACGTGTGAGGGTTTGCCGAAATTGGTGTCGGGGACGCATGCGAACGGCACCATTGTGGCCTTGGGTGGAGCCCCCCATGGGGCCACGAAGCGTGTAAATAAGGGGCGTGCCGACGTGGGTGGCGGGGACGCATTTGCGGCCTTGGGTGGAGCTCCCTATGGGGCCATGACGCGCGTGAGGGGTGCGCCGAAACAGAAACATGCGGAGGGCAGAGGTAGGGATGGGAGGAGGGACGAGAGGGAGGAGGAGGGAGTGAGGGACGCGGGGCGCTGTCTCTTCAGAACGTGGGCCCAACGCCACAGGATGGCCAAGGAAAACAATTGAACACCTGTGGGGAGGGCCTTGGGCCGTCCGGGGAGCCTACTTGGGCTGTCTTTGGGAGCTTGGGCCGTTTTCGGGCCCTCTCGGGGCCCCCTTCGGCCCTCTTGGCGGCCTCCCGCGGCCCTCGCGAGGCGCTCTTCGGAACCTCTGGGGCCCCTTTGCGCCCCTGTTGGGGCCCCCCTTGGGCAGCCTTGGGGTTCTCTTGGACCGTCTTGGGGCCATCCTGGGGGCCTCTTGGGCCGTCTTGGGGCGATCTGTCGGGCCTCTTGGGCCGTCTTGGGCCGTCGGAAGGCCGAAAAGGCGAGAGCCCTGAAACCTTCAAACACTTATTGGAGACCAATGTTGTTGGCCTCCTGAGACCCCCCGGGGAGTCCTCTTGAGGGCCCGTCGGGCTGTCTTGGGGCACTGTTGGACCATCTTGGGACAATCGCAGGCCCTCGTTAAACGCTCTGAGTCTCTATTGAGGAGCTCTTCGGCCGTCTTGGAGCCTTCTTGGACCTCCTTTGGGCCGTCATGTATCTTCAGCCGTCTTGGGCGCCTCTTGAGCCATCAAGGGGGCCTCTTTGGAGTGGGGTGCGTGTTACGCCACTGTTCCCCCGCTTCGCCCCCCTCCTGGAACCCCTCCTGGAACCATCATCACTCGTACCTCGCTGTTTCCGTCACCTAGGACGTGACGGGAACGGAAAGGGCGCTTCAGGAAGTGGCCCGTGAGGGTTCACACCACCCTTCGTACAAGGAGACTTGGCGTTCAGAGCTCTTTGCGTCTTCGTTTGCACTGGGCTTCTTGGTGTTCTGGGCTTGTCACGTCATCGGGAGCTCTTGAGAGCTTTGGCGTTTAAAGCTTCTAACGCCACCGACTCGCCTACACATGTGTCTTCCGCCACCTGGAACTCTCGGGAGCCTTGGCGTCAAAACCTGTGCCCGTCACTGAGGATTTGGCCTTTCTGGGACTTCTTGTGCTCTCGGGGCCCTTCTGGGCCGTCTTGGGGCGTTTTGGGGGGCCTTGGCCGTCTTGGGTTCCTCTTGGAGGCCTCTTGGGACTATCTGGGGGCTCTCTTGGGGGCCTCCTGCTTGGAGCTCTCTTGGGGGCCTCCTGGGCCCTCTTGGAGCTCTCTTGGGGGCCTCTTGGAACATTCTTGGTCCGTCTTGGGCTCTCTCGGGCCGCCTTGGGGCCCTCTTGAGCCGTCTTGGGCTCTCTTGGGCCGCCTTGGGGCCCTCTTGGTGGCTTCTTGAACAATTGTTGACCGATCTTTGGGGCCTCTCGGAACGTCTTGGGCTGCCTGAAGCCCGAAAATGTGGAATGCGTGAACATTTTCACCTAGGGGCAATTCATCTGCTTGGGCCTCCTCCAGCCCTCTCGGGGGTCTTGTGGAGGGCCTCCTGGGCCGTCCTGGGGCACCTTGGAACCCTCTTGGGAGCGCTCCTCGGCTGTCTCGGTGCCCTCTTGGAAGTCTTTTTTTTGGGGGGGGGGGGGGCACATCAGGATGGCTGGTGCAGCGCGCCCGGCGGGGCCATGGCCCCTCTCTTGGAGCCGTCCGAGGGGGCATCTTGGGCCGTCTTGGGCGCCTCTTGGGCCATCGGGGCGGGGGGGAGGGGGGGTGCTACGCTGGCCCGGTCGAGCTTCGCCCCTCCCCTGGGAACCCTCCGCCCCACCAAGCACGGCACCACTCGTACCCCGCTCTTGCCGTCCTGCTTCTCTGTTGCCTGGGCGGCTGCTCTCGACTTTCTCTGGAGGGCCCCCCCCCTCGTGGCACGTCCCCCGAGAAGAAATCGCCCCCCCCCTCGAATTTGCAATTTGCTACCTGGCGCTCTCTTGAGCCTCCAGACGGCCAAGATGGCCTCCAAGAGGGCTTCCAAGGTTGCCAAGATCACACCAAGACGGCCAAAGATGGCCCTTGACGGGTCAAGAGGCTCCCAAGACGGCCCCAACACGGGTCAAGAGGCTCCCAAGACGGCCCGAGGACTCAGAGACGCACTCCCGGAGAGCCCGAGCCCGTAAAGGGAAACACAATTGATTTTCCGTTGGTTTTGAAAAGATTGAGGTTCTCGCTTGTTTGGGTTTGGGACCGCCTAGAACTGCCGAAGATGCCTCCAAGACAGCTCCAAGACGGCTCAGCCCAAGAGGCACCCAAGAGAGCTCCTAGTCGGCCCAGGAGGCCCCCAAGAGGCTCCAAGAGGACCCCAAGAGACACCCAAGACGCCCCAAGTGGCTCTGGAAAACCGCCACGGGCCCTCACGAAGTCCCAAGAGGCCTCCCAGTGGCTCCGAAGGCGCCCGTAGAGGCCCCCAAGAGCCGCTGGGAGCCCCCCAAGACGCCCCAAGAGGCCTCCGAGAGACCCCGAGAGACATCCCGAGAGACTCCGAGAAGCATCCAGGAGACCTCTGGCCCACGGATGCTCCCCGAGCTCTCGAAGTGATGCCACGCTCCTCCGAGAAGTGCAGCTCTCCTGGGCATCGTTCCTGGATAGGCTGGTGGGGATACTTTTCTGATTCGCGGGTCGAGAGCGCACCTCTTCCGGTT